GTTATTTGGCGTTACAGGAAACTGTGCTGCCTGCAGTAAGCTCATACCTGCTTTTGAGATGGTGATGAGAGCTAAGGACAATGTTTATCACCTGGACTGTTTTGCATGTCAACTTTGCAATCAGAGGTAAGAAAATTTCTTGGGTCTATTCCACAATCTAAGTGCTAGTTCGGCACCGGTGCAGGCATACATTCAAGTGAAGAGGAAACTTCTACCAGTAGGGGAGACCAAGATAGAGAGTAAGACCTGGATACTTTCCCTGGAACCGATACAGAACATCTTTCATGACCTTGGCCAGAAAACTTTTTGTGTCTCAAATCCTGCATCAATAAACAAGAATAATGTTACTTCTTCTCCTTCAAAAGGCTGTCTGTCAAGTTTAATTAATTAATATTTATAAAGGACTTTGAGATCCCTTTCTGCAGAAGAGCATAGCAGTACCATTTTTCATTATTACATTAATTTCACTTGAATTCTTCATTTTTATCACAGGTATTTCTTTTAAAGTACATGTTGTTTCATCCCGTTGCCAGAACTGTAATCATTTAAATTTAAAAGATCTTGTACCCATCATTTTCTCTGTAGCAGCATTGGACTTCCTATGCCGTATTTTTATTTTCACATCCTAACTGTAGGTTATAGAAATCCCAAGGATCCAAACCTGGCACTTTGTTCTGAAGCATCACCTGTATGGTACAGTTGCAGAATGAACGTCAAAAATGCTAAAACTGCAACAACTGAATTTTTCAGTTTCAGCCAACAGAGCCGAACTTGCAGCAGCTATATTCAGAGGGGTGGCCAAATCTTGTCAGAGATTTCACCGGGCGCTCCATTTCTGACTCCACGAGAGTTGCCAGCGGCTTTGCCAGTGACTTCTATGAGGTCTAGGAAATGAGAGAACCAATTATGTCTGCTCCTTAATGTACCTATTATGTTTCTTCAGTTATTACATGATCCTATTTAGAGTTTCATAGCATTCGTTCTTTTTTCATTTTTGGGTAGGAAGAAACACGAGATGTACATTTCTAGGGAAGTAACAAAAAAATAGGAAGATAATAGTCTAACACACCAAAGTTCGATACCGCTCTAAATAAGCTTTGCTAACTCACCTTGTCCTACAGCGTATTATTTTGTAACGCTGCAGTCATTTAAAAATCAAACATCCCTAAAGAACCATAAAATGTACAGCTGCTAATAAGTGTAGCACACTACAATTATGCTCTTTAAAAAAAGCCAAATTGACCTTTTTCATCATGTTGCATGGGAAATTAAAATACCAGGCAAGTAATAACCACTGCTTAAACTATATAATAATGCAAAGTAATTATAGGTTCTAATGCTACTTAAAGTCCTATATCAATTTTGTCTTGCCACAGAACTAAGAGGTTGTATTCTGAGTAAGGCAGGCAGAGCCTTCAGTAGTACCCACTTAAGTGAGACACACGCACACTCCTATGTTTCGTTTCTTAAACCCTTCACATCCCTGTTTTTTCTACCCACGGTTCTAGTATCATTATTAAAGTGCCTAATATATTTCTGTTGTTCGCTTCATTTATTACATGCCATAATGGGGCTGCATATCTTTAGTGTTGGTTATGCACAATTAGCACTTAGTTATTGTCTTGTCACTTCAGCCCATACAAGACAAACTTCTTTAATGTAAGAAGTCAGCTAATCTTCATCAGTCAAGCAAAGCAGACAATGTTTGTTACCCTGAGTGTAAAAGATTTTCATCATAGTTAGCACTCTTGAATCTGAGGAAGGGAACTTTCTTTTTCTCACCCCCCAAAAGCGAAGCTGTTGTGATTATTCTTAATATTCCTCTTTTACCATGACAAGTGTGAACTAATGCACAATTTCACTTTGCGGTAATACACCTCGTACCGTGCCCTAGGGCCACTGATCCTCTTGGAAAAGTGCTTTTAGGTGCTTCTGAAACAGAGCTTTCCTAGGATATTTAATAATTCTTAGCCTTGTCATTCCTGAGCCTTCAGTCTAGACTTTTATTTGATTTTTATTTTGCATGTAGTATGGGCTAAGGGTTGCTGAAATAGCCTTACAGGAGTCTTAGGCTGGGAACAAAAGAATTGATTTACCTGAAATACAATCTAGTTCACCTAGTCAAAACAGGGAGCAGGTCCAGAATTTCAAAGAATTTCAGAAATTCTCAAAAGTGGCCCTAATCCTGATCGTATTGCAGTCGGTGTCAAGGAGCATCAGAAAAGAGACAGTCTATAGGGTACTTTTCTTCCTCACAATTTGGGGCTAGTGGCACTTCAAATAATTAATTTTGTTGTTTTTTATAATGCTCCAGCTCAGCTCTTCTGTGTGTCCTATGACAAGGCATCCCACTGACTACATCCTCTCATTACTAAATGGCTATAAATCTTTTGTTTTCATTACTTGTATAACAATAAAAAATGGAAACGCTAGACGTCGGGCACATCACCTGTTTTTGAAGTTTTTTGTATCTGCTATGAAACCTCTTTTTCTTTTCTTTTAAACTGACTATAAACTTGTCAATCACCATGCCATTAATACTTTCTGCTGACCTTCTCAGGATCCTTCTTTCTTCTTCTAGTTAAGCTAATCAAAACCAAACAGCAGATTCCAAGTGCGGATAAGTTTAGAAGACAGCAGTTTAATTTTCTTTCTTTATTCCATGCCGCCCCTTGTAGGCGCAATAATGTTCTTGAGCTTTTTTGGATCTATTCTTCCCTTTCACTCCAGCCGCTATCCCTAATGCGGAATTTATTTATTGAAGAGAATACTTTTATTTATAAACACATCAGCGATATCCAAAAATCACCAACGGAGGTAACAAGGCTTACCAGCTAGTGCAAGACCTGTATGTTTGACCTTATTCCCCACCTTCACATTCTCTTCCTCGATTAAATTTTAAATCCTTTGGGTCATTCTTTGTACCAATAAAAGTACAACATATCTGGAGTACTACCACAGAGTATATAGCGCCCTTTGTTTGGTTCCATTTTTCAGACTTGCCATTATCATCTACCTTTTAGGATTTTTCCTAACAGAATATATGCAGTGGCCATGGGTAGACTAAATTGTTTCTTCAGTTTGCATTCCTTTGCCAACACTGAATTTCTTCTGACGATCTGTGCCTGGTTGCTCCTTCCACTCCCTTCTGACTTCCAAACTAGCTAATAATTATACTCACACCGATCCTTGGGGAAGCCCATTTAAGCTATTGCATGACCCTCATATTTCTACCCTTTCAATAGCTGATCCTGGCTCAATGAGAGAGAGGCCTGCCTGGTTTTGCCTAACACTTTTTGTGAAAGATTCGGTGATTTTTCTTCTTTTTATGTACGACTTCACTGTTTGCTTTATTATTTTTGAGTATCTACAACTCACCATCCAGCTCAAGTCGCAGTGTGGATGGTAGTTAGACCCCCTTGATTTCAGGGGACATTTGTTTGAGCCATAAACTCCATCTCTGAACTAACTGGCCCGTCGCCTTTTGTTGGCCTCCTGAAGGCTACATTTTCAGAGTGAGAAGAAAAACACATTGTCTCACACACTGTGTTCTAGGAAGACAGACTGTAGACAGGCCTGTAGACATAGACAAGACTGAAAGACATCTCCAGAGCCACAGAGCCTAGTCGCCTGGTGTCAAATACGCACTGTCTCGTATTTTCCCTTTCATAAAGCTATTGAGCTCTAGGATCTAATTGCTCCATCCAGCCAGTTTTGACATATTTTCCCCATTTTTTCATGATATTGATGCTTAAAGTTGGAGGGATTTTGTGAATATTAAGCTCTGCTCCTAGCCTAAAGGTTTTAGCATCCCCTTATCTTTCATGTCTCTGTCTGGCTTAGTCCTAATTTGAAGTTTTTCCATCTCCTAAATATCTGCAGAGTTTAGTGACAGTCATCTTAAGGGTGTGAGCGCTCCCCTTTCTTCTCTATAAACATATTAAGCTTCTCCTCAGAAGCACTTCGCCTCACATTGGCAGTAGCCTCAATATAGTTAATTTCTGCAGAAAAAGGAAAAAAAATGGAAACCACTGGAAAAACAAACTTGTAAACAGACACTGCCTTTCACACTTTGTCAGGTTGCATATGTGTGACTAGCAAAATGGAGTGGAAAATCTTGCGAGTGGGCTCAGCTGTATCTTTGCTTGACACTTCTGACTACAGCGATGATCTCAGTCTGCCTTCGGCTTTCCCACTTTCCGGAGTTTCCATGTCCTTCCTTTCACTCTCTGTCGGCTGCTTTAGCAGCTCATTCCGTACTTCTGCGGTACTTTGCCATCTGAAGTCAGCTCAGGGAATGGTTTAAAACCCCCATCTGCTATCAGTGAGGGGTGTTTAAATCGGCTGTTCTATCCTTCTATCCGAAACAGCCTGTATTTTATTTTTATGGGAACTGGACTGAAAATGGTTACATACTCATTCAAATCGCTGTCCTGATGGAGCTGTAAGCACTTACCCCCAGTATAAACTGTAAAATGCCCACACAATGCTGCCTTTGTTCTCCATGAAGCAGGGGGGAGGGAATGCAATGCCAGGGACATCCTTATTTCAAACACTAACATTAGATTTTTGCATGAGTGGTCATTTTATGATTTCTGAAGACCTGAATAACTGTTCATTTTCTTTGAGTGTCTCTAAATTTAGAATAAAAATTAACACATTTTCCATGTCTTCTTTTAAAAAAATAGTAATCGAAAAGCACACCAAGTTGAGGTTTGTGGTTGCAAGTTGAACTAGGATTCTGTGTGCGTACATACTACATCGTACTGGCAAAAATGTACAAACCCAGGCACAGCTCCCACTTTCCAGCCTTCGACAATAAATGGACATTTTGACAGAACCCTAGAATTAGTAAACCATAGGTATGAACTGAAGAAGTGTGGTGTGAAAGAGTGGCTTTGTTCTCTTAGTGATGCATATAGATTGACATTAATTTGAGTTATCCTGGAAACTCAAAGGAGCTTTTAAAAAAAGAGGAAAGGAGGAAAAAGCAGAGGACAAGTTACATCACTGAGTGCACACAGCAGAGGAGAAGGGTGTGAGTGGGGTAAGTCTGAGCTTTCTTTATCCTAGAGGAAATCAATTAAATGCTACCAGATTTGGTTTCTTTCTACAACAACAAAGATCTGACATTACCAGAGGAGGCACTTCACACACAGCCATCTTTGTGCACAGCAGTATTTCTCTTGCTTTCTCAAGAAGTTTTTGATACCTTAACACGTCCTGTGCATCAGAAAAATGGCAGACAGCAGTGAGATCTCCTTAAATATCTGTTCTGAGCAATGAAATAGCTGTTTCTCAAAATGGAAGTTTTATACTTCTTGTGATTAGTCTAGGCACACCTTCCCCTTCCAAACAAGGTGATAACAGAGGTCATTTTGTAATATAAATGGCCTTCCTTTTGCCATTGTAAAATATAACAGGAGTTCTAGGATGCAGGTTAATTATAATGGTCATTCTACTAATGTCACAGTCGTGTCAAAAGTAGTATTATCAATTTATGGTGGTAAGTCCAATCTGGCATGTTAATGCAGCCTATTGATATTTTTTCCTGTTCATCTTGCACGCCTATTAAAAATATTGGATGAGGGTTTTAAGGTAGGCTGAAGGCTACCATCTGCCTGCTAGAAGAGTAACAGTCTTGCCTCGTTATATACTCCTAACCCAGTGGCATCTTAATATGCTCCTTGACTTCACTTGATATACATGCCCAAATTGTGCCCTGATTTACATCCCATGCCGATTCCATAAAAAACCCCAACACTTGCCAGAGGTGGAAGGCTAGGCTTGAATTTACCCTTCCATTTTAAAGCTGAGCCATGTTTAAAGCCTGGACTGTGCAAAGCCAGTCTGAAGTAGTTGCAAGATTTAGCTCTTTAACTTCAGAAGAGGCTAAATCTGTTCTTGAGAGTCAAAGGCGGCTGAAAGTGTGGCTGGACAGATTTTGTCGTACTTCCTCTGTCTGCTTGCCTTGTCTCATTGTACTTGGAGCTAGCATGCCACGTTTATATGTTTTTCACCTGGTGCTTACCTCTTTTTCACCTAATGAGTGCAAAACCCACACATGTAATACCCAGAGACAGACACAAGCCTCACCATCAGCCTTTGCCAATGCGTTTGGGTCACTGAACTTGCACAATGTGCAAACGGTTGCAGAATTTGGACCAGAAGAATCGTAAGTAACAGGTTTCCCCCGAAGGCACAGAGGATCACCCCCAGGCATGCAAACGCAGCCCCAGATGAACCCAGAGGGTATCTTTCTATGCAGACAGACCCCCACCCCACAAGTTATCACAGAACCAAGCGTGTCTAGACAGGCCACTGGCAGCCTCTGCACAAGACAGCTGTACACTTGGAAGGTAAATGATTTGTGGAACTGTGTATGTTTAAAGCCACTCATGCATAAAGCTGTCAAATGCCATGTAGACATAGGTAGAGCATTTCTGGCTCGATATATTAACATAGCAAAAGCAAAAGGCATTGACACTTCTTATTGGGAAAGGCATCCTGACTCCCTCATGTAGCTGGTGCAGTTTAACTCAAACCATGGCACTTCTCTGAGGGCTGAGAAACAAAATCCTTCAGCCAGGGTTTTGATGCAAGCAATATTGCAAGAAGTCACATGTGAAACCATTGCTGTGCAAGCGAATTGCACTTCAGCAGTGTGTTTTTCATTTACTAAATATTTTAAACAAATTAGTCCGCTAATCTGTGTATTACGCTGGAACACAAAGGAATACATTGCTGAAAAACATTCACAGTGCGGAGTCAGTGCTTTCTGGTGGGCAAACAGAGGTGGTTGTGTCTCCTACTGGTGCCCAACCCATGGGGAGAGCCACCCTGCTGTGCCATTACCCTCCGATGTGGTAGGCACTGCTGGCCAGACATCCCTCGCTCCGGCCCCATCAGGAGTCCTTGGGCTAACTGAAATGGAGCGACTGGTTTGTCACAATACCTAACTTCCTCTGCTTTAGTCCACATAAATCTGTATGTTCCTTTTAGAGCAACTAAGAAGAACTATTTTTAAAAATTTTCTTTTTTTAATGCGATTTTTCTGGGAAAACACTTCTATGTATTAGCACTAGTTAAGACACTTTTAGCTAATCTGGTGAGATGCGCAAAAGAATTTTTTTCAGCATTATTGTTGGTGGACAAAAATACGAACGATGGCAACTAGAGAAACCACCAAAGAACTTGTTTGGTTCAAGAATTCTGCATTTCGACACACCTACTCAAAATACTTTTCTGTTGTTAGTAGCCTAATACACCAGGATTGGGGTGGGAAGAATAGCAGGAACCTGTAAATTCTATAAAAGAGTCTTGACCATAAATAACGTAAAGATTTGGGGATCATTCCATAATCTCTGTTTTCAATCATCATCAGCAGCAGGCAGTAATCCTACAGAAAAAAAAAAAAGTCCACAAATAAACAAACCAATTTTCCTTTAAGAGCAGAGCTAATTCTTTTCAATCCACTTTTTTATTACACTATTTTCCCTCTATCTATTTAGCTAGCATAAGGATAAATTTCCAGAGCTACCCAGTTGGAAAATAAATGGGTTCACTGTTTGTCTAGCATTCCAATCTTCACAAATGTAAATCAGTCCAACTGCTACTCATTTAAACCTCCAACTTCACAAAACATTAAAGGACTGCTTTCAATACACAATATAATCTGTGACAATTCGCCAGGATTTCTGCTTGAACATCATTAGAAATTGACTATCGGATAAAGAGAGACCACTATCAGAGGTCAGGCGGGTCAACCTGTGTCATTTACGTAGTTTTACTGGGTCAACTACAGCAGGCACCACTATTTGAAGGTTAAATTGTTACAATTAAATACATATACAGCCATTCCCATAGCTACTCTGTTGTTAAATCTACCGTAAACAACACAAGCATTTATATCTGACCCTAATTGTGTCCAAGATGTCACCATTTGGAAATTATACAAAAAAGGACATTATAATCCGTTACACATTAAACAATACTTTATGTAGTGAGATCCATAATTAGCTGGTAGAAACTGGTTTAATTTATTCCCATCAGTGTTAAGGGGTTCATTTAGGTTACTTTCTCTCATTTTAATTGGAATAATGTGAGCAGTGCCTCCCAATATATTTTATAGCTGGAGAGTTCACTATAAACAAAGGCACGTAACCCTGCCAAGGCAGTCACTAGGGAAACTCTTTTTCTATGCATTGGCCCTATTCACTTGCTCCCTAAGTATCTTCGAGAAGATTGGCTTTGTCAGGGGGAAAGGGTTGAGGGGGGGAGTCGGTGAAGAGCCTTGTTATGTCCAAGCGTAGTGCTTGGCTGGGAAATCCTACTTTACTCAGAGTCTGAAGCCAGCCAGCCAGAAGTGTTAACGTTACCTGATTTTCCTACTCATCAGAGAAAATCAAATGAAATATCTCAGCACCGTTTTGTAGCAATCAGATCATTCTGATGCACGTAATAGTATAACAAGGTAGGTATGCTGATACCACAAGAGAGAGAGTAGTTAGCTGAGTAACTAAATTTATAATCAATTCCTACGGGGTGGGGGGGGGGGGAAGACTTCTCCGCTTACCTGCCTGCGTGTCTCTAGTTCACACCACAATATACGTGAAGTTGTGTGTGTGCTAGAAAAGATTCTCAGAACCACCGGGTTAAATCGACTCTAGCAAAATACCCAACTGGAGTAAACCAAGAAATTCTTACTGGTACGCCTGCACAAGACAAGTGTAATGTCTCTCAGATGAGCATCCCACCGCATGCGATCTCTTTGTTTTCCTCCTGATTTGTGTGGAAGCAGGACGTTTACTTTTCACTCCACTCAGCAGCCTGGCATGCTTGTTCTGGTTTATCGGTGTGCTAGTGACCTGATCCAAGGCTCCCACCGTCTTCAGTGGGCTTTGGGCAACGCCTTTGGCTGGGGAAGCAAAAGCGTTGGAGTGCACTAGGTTTTATTGAAAGCAGAGGATTAATTCTGATAGCAGAGCAATTCCTCTGCTGGGCTTTCACCTACGTGCACACGCGTCGGTGTGCGCTGCGACAGACGGCAGAGGTGCAAGCCGTGCGGTCGGTACAACAAAGTCGTGAACACTTGTTGTACAGTCCTTATGTGTAAGATCACGTCACATCATTCATCCTGAAACTACCTTTTTTTTCCCTTTATTATTGTAATTTCAGATTTTGCGTTGGAGACAAATTTTTCCTGAAGAACAACATGATTCTGTGCCAGACAGACTATGAGGAGGGTTTAATGAAAGAAGGTTATGCACCCCAGGTTCGCTGATCTGATGCCACATCGTTAAGAATACAAAGCACTATGTCCTTTTATCTTTTTTGCTCAACATGTATATAAGAAATGACACAGGAACCTACTGAATAGCATAGATATAGGGAGACAGAATGGTTGCGTGAAATAAAAGGCGGACTGCATCTGTATGTAGTGAAAATTGCTCCAGTTCAGAGTTGAATGTTAATTAAAAAGGTACTGTACATACAGCTGGATTCTTTTTGCTTGCTCTTGGGGTTTTTGATTTGTTTGGTTTTTATGTTTCTTTTTGTGTCATTTGGCATGAGATGTTTATTTTGGACTATTGTATATAATGTATTGTAATATTTGAAGCACAAATGTAATACAGTTTTATTGTGTTACCATTTGTGTTCCTGTTTGCTTCTTTGTATTGTTGCATTTAGTACAATCAGTGTCTAAACTTACTGTATATTTATGCTTTCTGTATCTACCAGCTATTTTAAATGAGCTGCATCTTTCTAGTAAAAAGAATTAAAGAGCAAATCCCAACCATTATGGTACACTTAGAGCTGAAGAATACTGTTTACATTAAAACTATTTAGAAAACTAGTAACTCTAGTAGCACCTGCTGCTAATGATGCTATGGTTAAGGGTCTATCAGCACTTCTGTTATAAGCCTCTATTTTTCAGGGGTTAAGCATCTGCTGTTTAATTGCATAGATTTTCCTCAAAGAGCACTTTTATTTTACTACGAAATTTTGAAAAACAAATCTGACCGGTTTGGGATATATTATAAAAGGTGCAAAAGTTAATGATTTTGGGTGCTGCTTTTGTGCCCCTTAGGCATTCAAAATGCCTGGATTTGATTTTTAATTTAGCTGAAAATTAAGCACT